TTACCCTCTTTCGTTATCTATCACACATAATTCTTTATAAGTAAAAAATGTCTCTCACAGTTTTCCGTTAGTTTTTTTGCATTTATTTTTACTACTATTTAAATCTTACGTAGTGTCAAATGTCATACGTCAAATAGCTGTTAACACATACAATTGCATTATAACTTTTTTGGTTCACTCCTCAAACTGGAAACATTGTTCGGAATATGTATGAATAAATGATTTTTTTTGTTAATTGGGAAACGAATTACACATAACAATATTTACTAAAAAGATTTTCAAATTAATTTTAATTTCAAAAAGTAATTAAATTAGAAACGAGTAAGAAATCTTTTGTAACATTTTAAAAACGTTTTCCAGTAAACCAGTTACAATAAAGGCACGGATGGGAATTATGCGGACGGACGCAATACCTAGAAAAATTTTAGATGAGCTAAATCTTTGAAGATACCCAATCGATTCAGAATAACTATCTAAATCGATTTAAGTAAGTACGTCCGTCCGAACGTTTGATTTCTACCCATGAGATTCTTTGGCTCAAGGAAGAATTGTATTCAAAACGAATTAGATCGAATTTTTTCTTAAATTTTTTTGGAGAAAAATTAATTTAAAAAAATATTATTATGGCTTACTAAGAAACCGCAAAAAATAGATAAGGAAAGAAGATCAAGATCATGTTTTGAATTCTTTTTTATCTAAACGGTTTTATAAAAGATAAGCCTTGCCCGACGGTAACGAGGAAGTTTATTACAAAAAATGGTTCCCAAATAATGACTTGACATATAACCTTCATATGTCAAACTTGGGCAGCAAAGCTCTATTCTTCGGAATCTTTCCCAGATAAGATTTTAAATGAAAACTACTTCTTTATATGGAAATAAGGCCCAAAATCTGTTATTTTTACATGGAAATAAATAAAGAACGCTTAGTTTGTTGCAAAAAAAAAAAAAATTAAAACCATGTGGTTTCAGGTTTCCATTCTCATCAGCATGTATTTTGCACCACTTAATCTAACATAATTTTTCATTGATTTTTATTACTATCAAATACCATAAATGATACCTGATTTACATGTAAAGTTGTACCTTCCATGGATGGACACCAAGAAGTGAACTGCAGTGGAAATGGAGTAAGGTGCATAATAATGCGATAATTCGAAATTGTCCATTCTTTTGATCTCAAATGTGCTCTGATCCGGGTAGGAGTTGTTTGGTTAGGTTAGAGTAATGTGATACAAATTTTTTTTTTTTTTTTTTTTTGACCAAGCGCTTAGAGGATGTCCCACATTCGTGTACTCAGGTGACGGCTAGCAAGAAATGATAGAAACGGCCGCAAGCCAGTGGGTGTGTGCACCTCTGTCTATAAGTCTCATTGTTTATCGCTGCTTCATGGTGCTACTGAAAAATCTTTATTACTCTGAAATAACAATAAGGCCTGTAGCCGTGTCTTTTAACCGATTTAGTCCATTTTCAATATCAAGCTGCGTGCAAGATCTTACAATATTTCTTCCAGATTTGAAGTCGATATTTTTAATTTTGCAACGAGGAGAATATTTGGAACAGACATTGCGCAGAGGTGGGGGACACGGTGCATTTTATACAAATATATGATCAGCCGTAAAATATGCAAAGCAATTGTCGGCCTTGCAGCTATTATAGCAAATTTTCAAGTTTTGTTTCTTCTGAAAAGAAGGATGTTCGCTTTCACTGTTTATGTTTCACTTTAGATGTGACTTTTGACCGATTTGGACTAACTTGAATACACGTATTTTAATAACTCATATGCAGGAACGATTGTGCTATATTCTTGATGCGATATGTTAATTTTTGCAAGCGGCAATATATTTACAACACATAGACACACGAATGGTTAAGCGGACAGACCAACATTCTCTATCCGGTTTAGTATATAAATACATTATAGAGCCTTCCTAAAGCTTCCTTTTTGGGTGTTGTAAACGCCTTCTTAAAATGTACACCACGTAGCGTGCATTTGACCTTCTACAAAAACAAAACACTAACCGATGTTTGGCATATTGACCCCTTGCTTATAATTTCTTTTTTCTTATTTTTCTTCAAAGTCCTGCTTGTATATTAACAAAAAATTCTTCATTTTGAACACAGTAATGTATGCACATATTCGAGTTCAGTGATTTGTTATTGCAATCTTCGTAATCATCCCCATCTCTCCCCCAAAATCATTCTAACATATCAAAAGTTGTCAAGGCAGAGAAGTAAGCAACAATCAAGCAACAAATATTTTTGGTTAAACGTTTTCCTTTCAACTCATAGCTTGAAATATTTTCTTTATGATGTGTGTACCATTTCGTAGATGCGTGTTTGTACATATGGATGCAGTGCTATACTCTGGAAACATTGAGAACATGCGAGATAGAAATAAACAAGGGGGCAAAGGGAGTAAGCGGGGGATATAGAAGGAGAGAGAGAGAGAGAGAGAGAGAGAGAGAGAGAGAGAGAGAGAGAAAGAGAGAATGAGAAAGTGATATTATTTTCAATCCTCGTTCAGGATAAGTCGATGGGTTTTTGTTGTTGTTTATGTGTCGGACTTTTATATCTTATTGCTGATGACTTTATAGTATGTGAAGTAGTGTTCTTTGCGTGTGTGTATGTGCGTTTGTGTGCATGTGTGTGTGTGGTTTTCATAACAATATTGGCCACATGATGTGGCCACATGCTTATTATTTTACTAAGCAATCTTTATTATGGTTTGTTTTTTGCTTTTGGCTTCCTATAGAGATTTTCTTGACAAGTGTTTATAAATATGTGATGATGGATTGTTGTGCAGTTACTTTATAGAAAATTAAATAAATTTTATATATAAAATTTAAAAGGAATAAAAACATTACATTATATATTTACAATATAGATAATAAATATTTATACGATGGCAACGTGAAGGCATCCATGAGCCATATATGCTTTCTGATATTGGCCATTGGGAATGCACGGAATAGTTGATCCGTTTTTATTTTTTGATAGATAATCGAGTACGTTTGCACTAAATACGTTTTAAACTAGCCTTTAGTCAGTGCAATTACCGACGAAACGAAGTTAAATTGTACAAAAAGATACTTCAAAATGTTAAGGGCGAACAGTATTTCGCTTTTAAATCGCGGCATATAATCCTTTCTTCTTAATCTATGCAACGACTACTAATAAGATAAGGGGTAAAGCGACGATAAATTTTTCAAAAAATCGAATTTTTATTATTGGTTTAAAATCTCCCTTAAATAGTAAAGAATGACGTCAAAAGATAATTATACGAATGCATAATTTTAAATGGCAGTAAACGGACACTTGAAATTTTAAGAGCGTTTTTCTCGAAACTCGATTTTTCGAAACGGCCTACAGCATTACTTCTACAATTTTCATTCGACTTTATAACAACATTCTCTAGAGAAATGCGTAGATTATTTTGGAAAAATTAATTTAAAAATTTTTTTTTAATAAAAAAGTACCTTGTTATTCCTCCAAATACTCTCCAAGCACGCAAACCCCAAAATATATCTAAAAATTCGTAAGTGCTTTCCCAGCTAAACGCAAGTTGATTACACAAGACGCTTCACACGAGAATGACTCCGTTGTTATCGTTTTTAATATGTTTCCAAAATAATTTTTTTTTTTTTAGCATTTAAAGCTATGTTTAATAAGGTCTTCAAATATTGTTATTCTGTTGCTTCTCTTTCTCCGCCAAAAAGCTGTCAAAGAGCCTCTTCTTTGCACTGTAAGGCTGGTGTTACTATTTAATACTTTATCCATTGGTGCGTTGTGATGGTATAACGAAAGCCAATTCTTGCAAATATTTTGCTCCTGATTTTCTCGACGTTGTTTGAATATAGTGGTGGAACGAGGTTAATATTAACACTCGAGCACATGATGGACGGCAGGTTTTTTCTCAATTTTCCTAATGGAGTTTTCAAAGTCAATTTTTTCCATTGTTCCGTTCGTAGTTGTTATTATAATTGTTAATACTAGGCCTCTTTAAGTTAATTCTATCCTAATTAATTTTTTTTCATATTTTTATTACATATGATTTAAATTTATTTTCTTTCTCTTTAAATTTTTTTTCTCTTTCTATTTAATTCTAATGTGAATGACTTGTGTATCTCCGCTCCCTACAGTGCTTTTAATCTTTCTTTTTATCATTTAATGGCCGTTTTTTAGTGTTTTTGTTCTCTCGCAAAGGTGGAACGGGATTAAATGAGTAAGACCGCATTACAGATAATAAAAACAAAGTTTGTAAGTTATAAAACTTTATACCGCACATAGAAATGGCCATTTTAATTAACCTTATGGCAGTGTGGCATTCGCATTATAATCCTTGTGTTGTATTCATTACCACCATCACCATCATCATCGTGATGATCATCATCATCATCATCGCCACCATAACCACCACCATTATTGCGACTATCACCAGATAAAGGGAGCTGCGTATTGTGTGAATGCGTTTGTGTATCTATATCCTATACTCGACATGATAATAAAGGCATTAATGTTTATTTAAGCCATTATAATAGCCATTGTAATAACATATGTTCTAAAAGCGGGTACAACGGTATAAAATAAGTAAATACTTATGTATGTCCCTACGTACATAAGCGTATGCAGCTTAATTCTTTTCGGTTTGTTTGCGTAAATGCAGGTTAGTCAACTGTGTGGCTGCAAGCATACATAAGCGGGCACAAGTGCATTGTAATCTTTTGTAAATTGAAGCAAAAACCATAAGTTTACCTACTTCACTATAAGTAAACTTAAGAGAATTAAATCAATTCCAGATAGAAGAGCCAGAAAAGATTTCAATTGAAAATTTTCTGTATATAACGAAAAACCAATCTACTGTTTGTTGTTTCTCGTTCTTTTTTTTTTTCAATTTTGTACTTTTTTAGATCATTTTGTTATCATTTCAATTTCATCTTGAAAATGGTTTTTTATTTTTATTCTTTCAATAATTGTAGTTTTTCTTCATATTTCTTTCAGAAAGCATTTGGCAGACTGAGCTGGATTTTATGACAGTGAATCGTCGTAATTTGGTTGTACTATCTGTGGTTACGTCGCCTTATCAGAATCGTAGTCATCAATATGAATCGCAAGAGGAGGAAGACTATTACAATGACACTATGTTCACCGAATTTGCTGGTAGTGGCATCAGCAGCAGTAGCAGCAGCAGCGGCAGCAGTAGTAGTAGTAGTAGCAGTAGTAACAGCTTTACAAATGCTGACAACCGTAACGACCATAGAGGCAGCATAAATAATCATTTACTAGATAACGATTCTAAGCAACAATATGATAAAAAGCACAAATCATTGGCAGACTCGTCAGGCAAAACAAGCTTCTTCGAAGTACCGGATTTAATTAATAGTTCAGGCGACAATATTGAAGAACATGACAAGAACAATAGCAACAACAATAACAACAGCAACAAAAGTCATGCCACTAGCACAAACGAGGAGACACAAGAGTTGGTTAATAAATGGCTGAAAGAAACTAGATCAACAACTATGACAACAGCAACACCATCGACATCATCTTCAATGGCAACAACAGCAACAACAACATCAAGAGAAACAACATTTAGTACCATAAATACATCTGAGATAGCAATATTAACAACGGCAACAGGAGAAATAATTGCTAACACAAATTCCGTAGACTTGAAGGATAATGGAAAAATAAGGCATAAGTTGAACACCCTAAGCAAAGACAGCAACAATAGCAGTGAGAACATAAAAATGACAGCGGCAGACGACGACATAATGACAACAATAACAATAAAAGCAGCAACAACGTCAACGGCAACTGCAAAGATTGATAAAGAAACAACAACAACAACAACACCTACAACAATGAAAACAACTACAATGACGCCTACTTCCACTACAACTATTATGGCTGAGACAAGATTAATAACCAGCAATAAACCAACAACAAAAGAATTTATTACAACTAATAACAGCAGTAGTTCTACAAGTATAACAGCAACAACATCTACAATGCTAAAAACTAATATAACAGCCTCAACAACCACAAATTCTCTGGAAAGTCAAACCTCTCAGGCGCATCATCATCATAATCATAATCATCATCATCAACATCAACGCAAACACAATCACCAGCACAATCATGAGCACAATCATCATCATAATCATAATAATAATCATGCGAGTAAAACGCCTCACAAACACGGACAGCATCGTCAAAGGAAAATTTCGCCATCTGGTACATCGCGTAAACATCATCATCAGCCGTCAACTTTATCTGTAGGTTACTCGGATATAAAAGGTTTCCCCGCGAGAAATGAAGAAGGTTTGCCTGGGCAGATGGTACTTTCGAATAGCAATGATAACGTCATCAATCAATTGGCCGAAAAGGATTTTTCAGGCAATAGCCTTGGCGGCGGTGTTGTCTTCGAGCATACTGCTGGCGGTGTAAGAACGACATCTTTAGAGGAATTAGATTTCGGACGAGCACGCGTTGCCATTTATCCGAAATCTTCGACCACAATTAGCACCACCACACGTGACAGTAATATACATATTGTTAAACCGGAACGTTTGCCCGAAATTATTCCATCCACACCAGTGTCAAGCAATTCGAAAATAATTGAAATCAAAGCTAAAACGAATAAAAAAGTTAAACGGGAAACGGTAGAAATAGAACCCGAGTACTTAGTAGGCGAGCTAAACTTAAACGATTCCAGCGAATACATTGCTGAATTGAATCCTGGCGACTCCACAGCGACTGCAACAACAATTTTAATAGGAAATGTAGTTAACACGGGTCCCTCCTCTACCAATGGTAATGAAATTGTACGTCTAGATGGCTTCGCTGGTATGCTGCAATTATTCTTTGGCATTGAAAAACCGATAGATGTCGCGGTCTTCAGTCATCCACCGAGTGCTGAGTTTATAAATTTACTTTTTGCTTTAATGGTATGGTGCGTACGTTATCCAGCCGTATTCTGGACTACAGCGAAATCATTTGCCACCATATTTAGCGTACAAATTATTGCATCTGCTTCTGATATTATATTCAGTTTTGTGGGCATATCTACGCTATACAAATTGCAAATCTATAGTGAAGCGTTACCAATACAAAATCATGGACTTGTACTAAACGCCACCGTTACTCTTCTATTATTTTTACTATCCACTTTACTAATGATATCGTCATCGATGATTATGTACTTGTATGGTCATGGACGGTTAGCAGCGAAAATGCGTGATCGTTCGTTGATTACATTGAAGTCATCAGACACTTGGATATATTTTGCCCATTGTGCTTCATTATGCTACGTATTGGCATTGGCTGTGGTTAAGGCCCCTTTACTAAATGATTTGAGTGCCACATATCGTCAGAATTTACATTGTCCCACCTTTATGGCAGGTAAGTTTAATACAATTGTTGATACAATTAAAACGAACGAATGCCTGAATGCATGCATTAAGGAGAATATAATTGATACTAGAATGTCTATATCGAACAAATGAAATTGAATATACATATATATATATATATAAGATAGATGATTTAAATAAATCAAGTCGGTTCTCCAAAGAATCACGCGAATGAATCTGAGTTATATATAGCAACTAAAAATGTTTCTATCTGTCTCTCCTTCTTCTTCCTTCATTTTGAAAGAATTTCGATGTTCATTTATTTACTCTACACCTCCTGTAGCATAGGACTTGTTAAATGTGTGATTGTAATCATACCAATCGTTTCAGAAAATGTTTCCTAAGCCTGTCCGTATTTCGGTCCATCTGATGATCGTTGCTTCTATATGTCTTGTCAAACCTACTGATAATTTTCGTCATATTTTCATGTAATCTAGAATGTGTTTTCACCCGTGGACAAGCTCTATTGAAACCAAACTTGATTGGAGCATATTTAGGGCTAATCCACATACAAGGTCAAATTTTGAAAAAATTTTCAAATTAAATGAAATAAATTACATGCAGCTCAATCTTTTTATCTCTGAACATTGATAGGCGAAGCACTCTACGATACTTGATGGTCACTCATAGCCGACCATAACTTAAACCTTTTGCTTGAAACACTGTTATATTTCAATTTGTGCTACAAATTTATCTGGATTTACCGCGTTTAAATTTTTAAAATCGACGGATTGGGGGAGGCTACCTGCTTATCCCAGGGGCAAAGGCAACTTGACTGAGTCCTTGCAAGTATAAATGTAGTTATCGGTAATCTTGAAAAAAAAAATAATTCTGCTGATAGAATGGAATATCAAATTTTACAATTGCACTATTCACAGATTTGTTATATTAAAGGAAATAGATGATAGCAAGCATTTCAGCCGCAATCTTGTTTTAACGTTAAGAGAGAGCTCTGGAGAAAGCATAACATTCATGAAAATACTTACCATTCCGGATCCTATCCGAAATCCGTCTGAAACGTAAAGGGCTGGGGTTTGTTGTGGTCAGTTTACCTAATAAAAACCACTTTTGGTGGCAATGCAAGCGATATCTTAGTTACTATTTTAATTTATGTGAGATGTAAACATTCAGCTCCCCTTTTATATAATATACTATAAGGAAAACGAAACAAAATTTCAGCAAATCCGTTTTATACTAAAAGCTTGTAAAACATAGCAATATTTTTTCATGTCATCCAGTAGAGCACGACACCAAATGATCCTTCGAAATTGTTTTAAAATAAGAAAAGGGTGCCTTTGAAACCATAACTCTTCCTGCCTGCAGTGCAACGCGTCTCTGGGTCCTGGAGAGAAGCAGATACGTTTTAATACATCTTATGCAAATCATAATTTAAATTCAATTATTTATCTATTTATTTACCTCTGGGTACAATTACACATTCACCCTTATTGAGCGACACTCTTAAGGCTAAACGGCCTCAATTACACAATTATGGAGAAGATCATCGAAGCGCGGTAAAGTTAATAGCTTTTAGTTTCAAAGTGAACGAATTTTTGCTTCGAATATTTAAAGTATTGGTAAAGCGAGCTTAAATCCAAGCGTTGTATGTGTAAGATACATACGTATTTAAAATACGAATCAGAAAGCCAGTAAACATTATTATAGGCGTTAAGGTATTGAAGGCAAACAAAGGTCTATATAAATAATGCATTAAAAGCGAACATAAGTCTATGTAACTGGAGTACTTAGTTAATTATAAGGTATGCTCTACCACGTTGAGACTCGAATCCGTGATCATCGACTTGGCTGTCTCGAATCTATTCACCCGGACTATGCGGTAGCTGAACTATCTAACTACAATCGTTTGTGTGTATATCGTACGATGTATGGCTACCTGATCCTCCACAAACGAAAAAATGAAGCTCGTGTTCATGTTGACCCCCCGCCTCCCCTCCCCTCTCCTCTCCGTATGCTATACAAATGTTGCATGGCTCGCTTGCATTGAATTTGTTGCTTTTCCTTATGATGCAAACATCATTTATATATTAAATAATGTAGTTTTCTATAAAAATAATTCATTACCTGGTGACAGAATTATGATGGTATGTGATTTTATTCATTTTTATTATATATTTCAAAGAGAATATTTTTCATTATTATCAAGAGACAATAAAGTGTCGTTACTTTATTGTAATTACCAAAAATTAACGAACGAACGAACGAACTCTGGCCCGACAATGGATGATTAGGTTAAGCAGTCAAAAACATTTGTCTGCCATGTCAAAGAACAAAGTACATTGTTTTGCGCCGCTCGAAATCAAACCATGTCAAGGGATATACATTTTATAGTCAGGCTGTGTCTATGTGTTTGCATAACGCTTAGTTGTTCATAAATAAATTTCATTTTGTAAACAACTTGTTCATGTAGCAGATATAAATGAAATTTTTATTGCGTTTTTAATGAATGAATAATTTTGCGATATCGCGCAATAAACTTTGCGTTGCGCCACCGTTTAAAGAAAAACATTTTCTGATGACAAAAATCCCTACGTCATGCGTACGCTCGAATGGAAAAAAAAAGAAATTTTCATTAATTCACTCGCGAGCTGTTCCCCATCATTTTCCTCCCACATTTTTACCATATTTTCTTACTCCATATATTGCGATAGTCAGGCGTTGCTTAGGTTTTCTATCCTTAAATCAATTTTTTACACCGAGCCGTTGTTCAGATCCGGAGGAAAATAACGGTGACAGCAATGAAGAATCAAATATGTTGACATTGAAAACACTATGCTGCTGCAAAATCCACTACTTATAATTCAATCTGTATATTGAACGTAGATTATGACAGGTTCAAGTTCTTTAGCTCTGTTCTTGCGGTTATAGGGATACTAAGAATTGTTGACAAGCAGACAGTTGGGCGAGAACAAATGCAGGGACATGCTTGCATTAACTCAGTGTTTTATGTTTAGAGTTAATAAGGATGCGAAGGAATATTGCCAGGCAATGTTCACCTCGTCTTCCTCCGTCTCCCGTCATTTCGTCATGGATATAAAATAGAGTACTATGATTAAAGTCCGTTAGTGGAAACTACGGTAATGTGAAGATAATCGCGACTATTAACCGCGTATGCTGCCGTCTAATCCTCCCGTAATTAAGACAATAATAATATCTAAGGAAAAAGGTTGGGAAAGATATTTCAGAGGATGAAAAAAGTTTCTCTTTGCAGTCAATTCCAGATAACAGTTATGACCTAGTTAGAGAACACTAAGCTCCCACAACCTTATTAATGAAAAACGAAGAAGGAAAGAAACACCCACACAAAAGGAAGCGTTATCGTTTATGTAAACAAAACATAAACTAGCCTTATTTAGCCACCGCCACCTCTTTATATATTACATACTCGTACTTTTACTCGTCCACCCAAAAAATTATATAATTTGACGTAACATTAATTTACTATTCAATTAAATCAATAAAAAAAAAAAAAAAAACATAATTAAATACTTTGCTGTGCGTGTCCGAAGCGTGTGTAGAAGTCATACATGTACAAGTATACACACGTACATATATATGTATACGGCAACAACACCAATAATATGTCCGCAAATTAACGTTGCAGTTATATTACGAGAAACAAAGTCAGGTAAACATGTGAAATTCGGTCGTGTAGAACATTTTAAGGTGAAACGCATTTGCGGCCAATAGTCAATGACCAAAACTGCCACAAATAAAATATCATGTTACAGCGCCCGCCCGTACGAGATCATATATATATATATATATATATATATATATGTATGTACATACATACACGTTTATATCTATACCTGCGTATGTGTGTGTGCAATGTTATGTGTTTAGTACCGGCTAGTGTTACCCAACAATAAAAATTAAAAGACTCAACATAGCAAAGTTCAAAAGTTTGTAATTAAAAACCAGCAAAAAGAAGAGCAAAACTGAAGAGCAAACACTAGTAACACCTACTTCTGCAATCTATTCCGTTTTTCTTTTTTTTTTCTTTTATAGTTTCTATACTCTTCTGTTGTTTACATGCAACAAAAGAGGTATACTAAACTTGAATATACTTTTGTAATGGTTAAACAAATTCAACAATTTATTATGCGATGTCCCTCCATCCATCAATTAATTTCAGCATTACAATTCTAGAAAACTTGTTAAGAATATTGAATAGCACCTTCTCCTAGTTCTTCCAGTTTTGTCGCTTCTTAATTTAAGTTTGAAAAGCAAGCAAACCGCTTCACAGAGTCGATAGAATTTTGAAAAAACCAAAAAATTACAATTTTGTAATCAGATGTTAAATAAACTTTTCCACTTTTCTTCCAATTTAAAAGAATTCTTTTACGTGCACCTCCATGTAGGAAGCCAATATGATAAATATTATGTGATAGTAAACTTTGGTTCGGCGAACCTAAACAATAAATTCGATTTATCCTTGTCTGACTTTTAAAATCAAGATTTTATAACCTACAAGACATAAAAAAAGGAAGAGAATCGGAGTTAATAAAAATTTGAAAAGCAACCATGGATCGGTAAGATTTCGATTATCTCAAACATATGCCATTGCAAGTTACTTAGCTGATTATATTTTATTACTACCTCGCCTGCCAAGCTTTAAATAAATAAATCTTATTTCCGCGCCATATGTACCCTTTTCGGTACACGTTTTCGTATACAAGATGAAAAATGTGCACAAACAATTTGTAAATGTGAATATTCAAACGACAAAAATTGATTTCATAAAAAGCATGTCTCAGATACGATCTGTATTTTCATAAATGTTCATATCCATCATTCTTCCAAAGATGGAAATTCGTCAATATTGTTCGCAATAAAGGCAATAAAGGTAATAGAAATTAAAAATTAATTTACTAAACTATTATATTAGCCTCGTGGATACGTCATTTTATTTTCTTACAATACGAAGCAAATTGCGGCCTTAGAAAGCAGGGAACTAACTGAGGACTGGAAAGTTTGCTGACAACTAACCACAATTTCGCGTGTACCCTTATCGGTACACCCATCAAAGAATCTAATAAACTGTTAGCAATAATTAACATTTAGCTCTTAATATTTTTAATCAAAAATATGGAGCCCCTTGCACAAATAAGATTTAGTCTGTACCAAAAAACTGTACACGGTAAATTAATAATAAATAATAGTACGGAAATATTCTTCTTCAGAAAATATTCTTTGAAGCTCTGACCCAAGTCGCGATTCACACTTTTCTGAAACGTCAAATGCATTCTTAGCTTATCCATTTATTTCGATCATTTTAGAATCCAAGACAAGTTACTTTTAGCTCAGATTTCACCAAGGATAGCAAAGAGTCGCTTAGTTTGCGCGACGACATTTTGATTAGGTTTTACCTGTCTACATCATATCATATCATATACAAATGTACCAAAGCTTATACACGACAATTGGAAATATACGCTACGTAGGCAACGAGTATAGTGTTCTAAATTATTTAATCAATTTCACTTGTTGCCAGATTTAACTGAGATCAGGATTTCGGTTTGAAATTTTCGTTTATCTTATTTGCATCCAGAATCTAATGTTATTTATATTTGGCTGAGTTTTTTCTTCCACATAAAGGAAAGATCCGATTATTAGAAATTGCTTCTTAGGCAAACTTGCACAATAGCATTTACTTTTGACCTTAGTATGCAGAAGTATCTTTTTTCTTCGGAATATAGAGAGAAGGTAAAAATCGTAAGTTAATATACAGGGATTGGAACCAATTATCCTATATATGATGTCAATGTCTTAACATAAGAGTTAATATAATCTTCGACCCATTCAATATCCGAAAATCGGGACAATTTCCGAAATGTAAAACTTAATTTATGCTGTGCTTTGCAGATAGGTATATATACATACATACAATATATATAATATTTCCTGCCTTGAAATCACAATAATGGCATAAGGTTTGGACAAACATGTTGAAATTTCTTCTCTTTAGTTTCTATAAGTCCGAGTAGATTCGAAAAAACAACTGAATCGGTTCTTGGTATCGATAATATTTCTTATTCCATCATCAATTTCATTATTTTGACTTTTGAAAATTAGTTTTTAAGAAAGCAAAAGAAACAAATACCGTTTTTGAACATATATCGCAGATTTACCTAAGATATTTGCACGCAAAATGGGAAATTTAAATATAAATATCGTGTAACGTATACCCTCTTAGGGCGCTCGTGTCTGAGAGGTTACGCAAAATTCGTTATAAGCCGAACGTAATTTCTTTTCGGTTTCCATTTTACAACAAAGTTTAACAGCAATTACTAACGCAAAGTGTGCTCACTAAACTGTAAAGGATTTTAGAAAGACATCAAGAATGCATCTGGCTAGCGGTGTTCTAGTATGTGCATGAAAACGGTTTTAACTTTGCAGGTGTATAGATGTGTATAAGGGTGATTGTGTATATACGGCTATAAGTTTACGGTTACAACTGACATTGGACGATTTTAATCAAAAGTCAATTCAGCAATTTGAATTTAATTGAACTCAGGCTCGCACACATACACACACACACACACAGTCAAACTCATACGTGGACATGCACACAGTGAAATTTGACTAAATATTAAAACTTGCCTTTATCCATAAGTATGAAAGAATAGGGAAGTACATATGGGTTGCGTATATACATATATATATATATATATATATATATATATATCAAATTTGCATGTGTGTATATAAGTGATTTAAGCGTTCGTTCATTATTTACTTTTGGTTTGATTTTCAATTTGCTTCCGTCTCTTTGCAGCTCTCGTTAGTGTTATGCATCTTTTACTGTGGATTGTCATATGGTTGGGTTTATCAGCCAAGCGAAGATGGAGCTTTAAATTACCACCATTAGATGCTTATGGTATTATAGGGAAGGCCACAACTCAGCCTTTATTAATGCATAATAGAGGCAGTCTTACGAGTAGTGCACAACAAGGAGGCAATCTAAATGCCGCCACTGCTGTAAGCAACGGTTCCACCATAGCTGGTGGTGGTGGCGGTAGTTTAGAGCAAAAATCAAACATTGTTGGCGGTGTCGGTGGCAGCTTAGTTAGTGGAATTGGTAGCGTTATGGGTACGGGCAATCATCACCTTAGCAATACATCAAGCAGTGATGTGGTCAGCGGAACGCCAGCCGATGATATTTATTGGCCAAAATTAACGCCCAGTTCACCAAAATTGAAAGTAACATTTAATGAAGTTCCGAGTACGTCTGACGATGATCAACTACTAATTGGTGACCATGAACAAAACGATGGCAAGCGGTAAAAAAAATCGTTTTTTAGCTAAAATAGAACAAAAAAAAAACTAATTTTTCAGAAAGAAAAAACTCAAACAAAATTAAAAACCACTATCACTGAACGCACAGTGTAGGGTATTGTGTTATTGCTCAATAACAAAACCTTGAAAAAAAGATAAAAAAAATGCATTATACCTTTCATTTACCTTCACCCACCTTTTTAAACAATTAATGCTTTTTTATTAACAGTTATTGTTTTTATTTCTGTATAAACAGTAACAAAAAGCTCCCCTGAATTTTGTAAAATCTTCTTTTGCACGTTTTTATGTTAATCACACATTTATCTTTTGTTCTTCAAAAAAAAAAAAAAAACAATTACATAGTTTGATCAAAAATTAACAAGAATTTTCAAATTATTTCACGCTTTATATACCGCGATAACAAGTTGCATAATGTTCAGGATTTTTTCTTATTTTTTAAGAGTTATCCGAGGGTATTCTAGAACTTTTGTTTTATAAACAAAGTTAAGTGTAAGAAGGCGTGAAAAATGTTAAAAACACGCTTCTGTGGACGGCACTTCTTCAGTCCCATTTCAAGCCTGTCACCTATGAGTGCGCACAGCATGGTAGATAGAACAACAGGGATTGCTGACGAGCTTATTCATAAATCACACACTTCCAGTAAGGCCGAAAAGCCTTTTGATAAGATAAAGTTTCCTTCGATGATGAAAAAATACAAGAAATCCTTCTTCGTAGCAGAAGAAGGGAAACTACAATATTCTTTAAAAAAAGTAAAGATTTCAGAAAATGATTTTTATTTGTAATTCAGGTACGAAACGGGTGATAGCAAAAATCCTGTTAAATTTTTCAAGAATTCTTTGGGAAACTTATTACCGTTACTTTGTCGCAATCAACGGATGACCGTGATCTGTTCGTGTCTAGCAAAATCATAAGAAAACGCAAAACACTACTTCTTTCAAGGGTAATTAAAATAAAAAGAATTAAAGAAAGAACATTGTATACGGGTAAGGCCAGCGATTAGATGCCCTACATCACTTTACAAATATAATTATTCACTAATTTTGGCAAATATACACCAAAAGTTACACATTACTTTCACGTAAAGGCATCTCCCTCATGAAAGCCCGCATGTTGCAGGAACCCTCATACCCAAAAAATAGACTAATCGGTCTAAATTCGCTAAAGTTGATGCCCATGTCAATTTACTATGACAAACTAATTTTCACCATGAAATATTAAAAAAAATTTTTTTTTTTTGACTATGTAAAGAGACAGTTTTTGTGGAAACGGAGAGAAGATTCAAAAATCCGCCCAAATTTTTCATACCAATTTAGAATATCTAAATACTACTACACAGCATATTGCATTTCTTTCCGTACGACGACTTTGAAAAATAGAACATTATATGGGGAATGGTCGAAAATTTTGAGCGATGCAAATAATTTTCAAGAGCGTTTGTCCTTGGGTCAAAGCATGTCAGTGTACCAAATTTCATCAAAAGGACTAAAAAATTGCGACTTGTAACTACAACACAAATTCACATGGATCAGACGGGCACACAAATAGGCGCGCATGCGGACCGAATCAGAACCGATCGGTATAATAAAAGGCGGGCCTATCTTAAGCCCTTTAACGTTTTACATACGTATGCACAAACTTCATTTACGGTGTACTACAATTGATGTACGGTATAAACATCCAACTCGCTACACCATTCTACAGTTCTTTAATTCATGACTTTTCATAATACTTGGAATGATCGAAAAGTGATCCGATCCGAACCATTTTCAGTAGCATTCGTTTTTGAACTGAAACACGTCAAGGTAACAATTCTTATCAAAATATCTGAAAAATTGCGAGCAGCAGTTTGAATACAAGAAAACAAGACGGGCAGTCGAACAAACACACAAGTTTCGAAATTACTTTCTGAAACGATCGGTATAAGGGAAGGCAGATGTTTTTCATATCCTTCTGAATGTTGCACACATCCCCACAAACTTAATATATATTTATACTGCAAATGGTGCAGAGAATTAAGAACTAATAAGCCGACCACGATAGACTAGTCTCTCAAACTGGAGCCCACTGGTTGTTGCAAAATTCTAAGACATCGAAGGGCATCTCTTGTAAATGAATTGGAATAATTTTAACAATATATGTATATATTTCGCAGAATAAAATCAGACAGATATTCTCGTTATTTTTGATCAAACCATAACCTTTTGTTCTAAATAAATTTGCAGCCATTAAATTGTTTTATTTATAATTTATTTCATTATGATTTTTATGGCATTTAATCACTTCTTTCGTTGTAAATAACTAAAAAGAAGAAGAAGAACCGTACGTTAAAATAAATTCTCGAAAATTTTTTGTGAGCCTTATCATCATATTTAATAAAGAAAAAAACAAGTAGAGAAAAATTAAAAAAAAAAAAAAAATTCAATTGCTGTTGTTGAGAAACAATTTTTGTTCCGCTTGTCGCCTGTTTTAGTAAAAACAAAAAAAAAAAAAAATATTTATTAATTTTTAATTTTTAGAATTTATTTTCATTTCCTTTTATTAACATATATTTTTTTTTTTATTATTTAAATCTAATTGCTAGCAATTTTTACTAATTTTTCATAATACCATCACACAGGTTTCTAACGGTCTGATCATACTTTCCGTTATCTTAGGATAATATAAATGTTGTAGGACTTCTAGAGCACGTAGTGTAGCTATTAAGTACCCGAACTCATTTTCATAGTGAACTACTGGACTACGGGACTATTGTACGAATAGAATAGAAATAAGGAACACACCTTTCCTGTATTATATCAGATTAGTTTCTACTAAGATAAAATACAACGCAAACCAATCAAAAAAACACTAATCTTAATCTTAATTTTTAACAATACTAATACTAAACGAGTAAAAATTCTTAGGTGATTTAAATGCGCTGGAACGATTTTCGTGACACTCTCATAAGTTGCTTTTGAATACTATAGCATGAGATGGTTCTCTATATAAAATTTCCGTGCGTACTTTTATAAGTTTTCTTTTAATATTCCATCAGATTTCTGTTCAGTTGATCGCCGATCAACCAAAAAAAAAAACAGTAATACCAAAACTACAAATCGAATCCAACTTAATAAGAGACTATATGCTGAAGAAAACAGTTCCTCCGATATTGCCACTTGACACTAGATTTTTACATTTATCAATGGAGGATGATTCTGTTAAACAGTCCACAAAGGCCAGAAAAGCAGAAAACTGCAGGGACCCCACAAAGTATATATACACATATTTGATCAGCATCAAATTCCGGATCGATTTAAGCATGTCCGTCTTTACGTCACTCCCTCTGTGTAATGTATCTTGACTGCAAAAATGAAGCTATCAAGTGCAAATTTGGTAGAAACATTGGAAGTTCTTGCGTGTAGATTGATATTGAAAATGGTCCATATCGGTCGAAGGGCATACCTACAGTACCACCTCCAAAAAAATTGGATTTTTGCATATTACTCAAAAATTACAGCAGATAAATGTACAAAAATTAAAACGTAAATTCTGTTGACGATGATGGGAAATAGGAAAATTGGCCACGCCTAGACAATATTATAGTGTATAAGATTGAAATTTATTTTTCAACATATTTATAATGCACGGAAGCAACCTTCAAAAACCACATGAAGTACATAAATTCTTGGCCAGTTTCAAATTCAGATTGCACTTAAGCAAGTCCATTTCTCTGTCTGTGCATCTGTCCACCTGCCCAGCCTTGTATCATGTTTGGTACACATCCTCCTATTCGCGGAAAGGAGGATATCGCCTACAAATTTGCAAAAGGGTTTGAAAATAACCCAAACACATCAAAGAATACGCCTACAATACTCTTACTATAAAGAGTCGCCCTTCAGAACACAACCTGCGATATGAAATAGTCATCAAGCGGTTGAACATTATATGTTGTATATATCCAAACTTCCCATTTTTCGTTCTGAGTCCGAAATGCAAAACTTGATACTTGACGCGAATCGAGTGCGAAGGTAAGCATATGGGAATCAAAAACAAAAAGTAAAACAATCTTGGAAAAAAGGACGAAGAAGCAAGAAAAAATCTGACACGCACACAAACTCACAGAAGGGAAGCGAACTCTTAGAGAGATGCATGCATAGATGCAAACGTTGACAGGCGGGGGAAAGAACATGTCAAAATCGGTTTAGAAATACACGCTGATCAAGTAGAATATACACCTTACATAAACCCATTATCGGTAAGTCCGGTATGAGAAAGTATGCATTTAATCTCGGGTTGTATGCTCACAGAAGTATTTAAACTAGAGTATCATGTGGCGTTAATTAAAACTTTCACAGAATTCTTTAATATATTTATTGTCTACTAAATGCTTGCGAACAACTCGTTCAATACATCTTATAATCATGTTTGAAATCAAAAATCATCTACATCCAGAGTTTTTTTGTGCTTTGTAGCGATTCGCCCTGTGGAACCACGGTATGTTTTACCAGTGCTACGGGGGAAATTGATGACGGAGAATACGCGACATTAAGATCTGCAACAGCAGCTACGGTCGTGGGCATAGCTGTGGGCAGTGGCAGTGGTGTGGCGAATAAAGGCGGCATTGGTGCTATGACGAAAACACACACACCGCCCGTTGGTGGTGTGAAAGTATTGCATTTAAGTGAATTTGACGAGCTGCCACCACCGCCACCACATATGATGTCTTCGATGACTATAACTAGCCACACGGCTACTGTAAGCGTTAATATCAATGCTAGTAATGTTGGTGGTGGTAGTAGCGGTAACAGTACGGTTGATTATGTCAATTGTACTGCTACTAGTGACGATAATATATCTGAAGAAGGCAAATTGTTGGCTTGTGTACGAGATGACAGTGTTACTTATGCTTCCACACGTGATTTGGAGCCACCACTTCCGCCACCGCCACCGCCCACACATAATCATCAACAACAGCAAACAGCAAACAAAAGGGCCCCCCATGCTATGCCCGAAGTTATGCAACTTTCTTCATCCCCCGAGCATCTAGTCAGTCCTTTAGCACCGGTCACCGTAACTGTACACACAAACGAAGCACATGTAAGTTCATTTATATGCATATGTGTTCGACACAGATTTATGTGCGACCGAAATGATTTTAACATACATGCTTTGGGTTGATATTTAACAACCACATAAATCACTGTAGCACTAACATTACTAATCTTTTGACGTGTTTTTTGTTTCCAAGGGAAAAAGTAAAGATTCTTATACTATTTTCTTGTTATTGTTTTTTCTGTCTCTTTTTTTTTTTTTGTACTTTTCCGTTTTAAGATTGCTTCTAGTTCAACACCACGCTGCATACGACGCGCTGATTCTGGGGTACCCCAAGAAGCTTTGACACCACGTAGTGATACAAATTCAACGGGCACAGAGAGTACAACGTCGCCGCCCGAGCGAGCGCCCTCCGAATCATCAAGCGGTGTTCATTCGGCTGAAGAGCGTGACGTTGAGGTTGTCATAAGGCCACGTGCTGCTTGCAAGCCTCCCGCTAAACCCCCACAGCCAGCTATACAAGAAGAGCCATACGGCCGTTGCACTAATATGCGCATGACCAGCTTCACTAGCAGCAGTAATACTAATAGCGCCACTTTGCCATTGCAGCGCACGGCCCCCGAACAGAAATTTGATTATTCTCAACATTGCAGCACTATGCCATTGCCTACAACTAATCAGCATAACTACAATTATCAGCAGAATCAAAATCAATCGAACGCCTATACAACATCCGCTCATTCCATGACTCAGTCGCACCACAATGCGGGCGGTGGTAATTTAAGCTCATTTAAAACTCCACTCTACGCGAATTCGGGAGTGGCATTGCAAGGACATTTCTCAGCTCAACCACCACCTCTGCCCCCGCCGCCGACAGTCACGCACACCGTGCTACCGAATGGAGCACGTTATTCAAATCCCAATAATATATTGAAACGTTTACCGCACGTCAAAACTGCCGAATCACCTTACGGTTATTCGGGCTTGGGGGCCGGCCATCATACGTTCGCAAAACCCGGTTACGAAAATAGCCTCGTTAACACCAGCATACCAGAAGATCGAGATTCAGCGAATTATTCCATGACCTCCGAGCAGGATTGTTTGTATGCCACTGCAAGTGCTTTGCAATAAAAATTCAATTCAATTACATATATATACTTCGCACATTGTAAATGAATCCTTTAACTAAGTGTCTACAAGATGAAAAAAACAAAAAAAAAAAGAAGCAAGTATGTTCCACAAGTTAGTAAACATTTTTAAGTTTTTTTATACTCCCTAACTACATATATACTTAAATACATCTATAAATGTATTCTAATGTATACCATTAATATTAATAATTTAAAAATTTCAAAAAAACAAAAATCTAATAACTAAGTTTAAATTAAATTTTATGCTTTAAGAGATGAAACTCAAATGAACACACACATACACAGACGCTGACACATGTACACATATGGACAAAAAAAAAAAAAAAAAAGAAGGAAAACGCAAAAAAAAAGTTCATAATTTATTATTATGATTTAGACACTAAATGAGGTGAGATAACGATTTATGTCAGTTACTGTAAAGTATTGTTCTTGCATGTAACATAATTATCGCATCCCTGTGAACAAAAAAAAAAAAAAAATTTTTATATTAATTACAAGCAAACTGTGCTTTGCAGAACGTACAATATGTTATAAGAAGAAAAAACTGAACGGTTGGAAAGGAGTGCAGCATCTAAGCACAAGGATGAGAGTGAACTTAGTTTTATAGCTTTTAATATTTTAGTAACCTTCGTGATTATTCATAGCAGAACTAATCTCTTTTGGTAAAAACTTTTTTAAAATTTCATGAGCAAAAAGTCTTCAGTCGAATGTGTCATAATCAACATTAGCAAATAATTTAAAAAATATAAAGAAAAAACTTTGATTTAAAACCAAAATTTTTTTAATACCCACCACTGGCAGTTATTGAAGCGTGAGAATGATTATATCGCAGTGTGTATGGATAAAAAACGCATAAATCCATAACATCTAAATGGAAAACCAACCAAGTATATTTTCTATCTTTGAGTCCACTATATGGAATCGATTAGAAATTTCATATCATTTGGCAGCGCTTCGTGTCCAATCTTATAAACGTCTGTTTGCTTGGTAATTGCAGACAGACAATTGCACCGATTTGATTGATTTTTTTACTTTCACAAGAAGAGCGTTTCTAAGAAAGTGTTTTATTGAAATGATTTATTGAAGTAAACGATTCTTTTGCTATTTATACCAAATGCTCAAAATTATTTTTATTTGTTTTTAAATCGAAGCTAGAGCCATTGTCCAGGCTGCAAATCTTGCTTGTAAAGCGAAACTTAAAACGACTATCATCGTAGATAGTTTGTCGGTCATAAAAACTATTCGCGACAGCTTAAATACCAACTGGGACAACATTACTAGGGTAAGGAGCACTGTTGCTACGTATGGATATAATGTTAAAATTTTTTTGGATTTCAAGTCGTCTTGATCTCTTGGAAAATGACCTAACAGACCTAGCGGTTAAATTCGCAGCTTCCGCATCGTTAATTATGGACGACATAATCGAAAAATCCGACCTTCAATAATATATTAGGAAAAAATTCAAGAGAAAAGTTGACGAAAAACATCGCTCTTTCCATCTCTATATTCAATGAACGTCGAGAAAATCAAGATGAAAACATTTACAAGAATACGAGTTAAGCATATTATTAAGAAATCTACTTCTCCGATCTGCGATTGTGGGCAAAATCTTACGGTCAACTTATGGTATACTTTCTGAATGGGAAATCCTTTCTAATATTCGAAAATTAGTTTTCGCAGCATCTAACCCTATGAAAATCTTGACAATACTTGGAGAACTTAATATCAATAAAATGTTTGACTTTATTAAAGCTACTAAACTAACCATCTAATCTACCTTAAAGAAAAAGAGCCGATAATCTTAGTTGCCAGTGTTCATCCTACTTTTAGTCCTAGAATTATTTTATTGGCTTAATTAATTTATAATAACAACAATAATATTTTTAAAATGCTTTTGGGACCATTGTTGAAAGTAATAAATACAATAGAAAACTAAGTATACCATGCGAGGCTTTCTTTAGAACCCGAAGAGAATAGAACATCCGCTTCGAGGCCACAACTGAAGACAACGGGACGTTGTCTCATTGCTCAGAGGGTCAGAGAGATGAGATTAATGCCTTTATAAAATTTGTTAGGATCCGAACACAATTTGATTTCGCGTTCTCTACCAGATTTTGGGGGCTAAAGGAAATCGGATACTTCATCTTCAACCCATTTTCAACAACCTAATGCAATAATTCCTCACGCTTAAAAAATGGAAATCTTTAGTCAATTAAGGTTAGCGTCTGATACGCTATAGCGATGATTTTCGCAGTATATTTCAAGTCCCAGGCGCAATCAGCTATCTCTTTCTAGGCCATAAGACAAACGAAGCAATATGACCGAATGCGATAATTTGTGCCGAATAAACTGAAATTATTTTTATGTCAATTCCAAAGACAATGGGAAAGTGTACCTGCGTACCAATATCAAATGCCAGATCATACAATGACGTAGCAATTCATAAGAGCCCGGGTGACCGCTCTCAATTTTCGAACTCCTGGTAACAATGGGATTCAGTTTTTCGGACAGAAATTTTTTTAGGGAGACTGTGATCGTAAGACCGTTCACTAATAGGGATTTAGATGTGTGTCGTCTTGTCCTAAAGGGAAAGAATGGTCCATGCTTATTGTGCTATTCTGGGCTTCAGGTGTAGTGGGGATGCTTAATTGGTAGTAAGCGTTCTATTCGCTAGGGAGGCCAGTTACAGCTACGTATTTAACAGCCACATCATCAAACATCGTAAGATTAAGCACTACTTACTGGGAGGTGTCCTCTTAAAAATAATAGAAAATGCCGTGCAATGGACCTCATATTAGTCTAAAATCGATTAAATATTATTAACCCTTTGCTTCCTTTACTTAACAATCGGCAATTCCGACACGAATTTCTCTAAATTTCAGATTTGCACTGAAAGACCTCTGCTGCTCCTGGAGACGTCTGCACAAAACACAGTAACATAAACATTGCTGGAAGGTTTGCACAAACATTTGGCTTTAAATCTGTCAAAGAAATAAAAATTTATTTAGGCTGAAATCTCCAATAATTATGTTATCTCTGCGATTAATAAATCCACAAAGCCTTTTGGCCGACTTCCAAAAAAGACCATCCCTTTATTCTTCAATTAAAGTGCTACTCGTCAAACTTTGCGTGAATACCGAATGATAAATAAATCAGTTTCATGCATTAAGAACGCACAGCTAATCACTGTTTAAGTAAATTATTAGAAAAAAAGCCTTAAAAATTTCTCGTCATGAAAACATTTAGTAAATGTTAAATTTATCGAAAAAAAAAAAAAATCCTATTCGTTCGAATGCATCATTATTCAAAGTTTATCACAATTGTTTAGTCAGTGCATACACTTAAATAAAATCCGCATGCATGAACATATATAGGCGTGCAGAGAGAAACTATGCGTTTATAGTGAATGTAATTCATGCCAGTCAAACCGCAAATTCATAAGTAAAACTACTGCGATAAGCTTTATTATGAAAGGACACAATTTGCACAAACAATTCATTGCTTACATTTAAGCGCCTTTCGATCTGATATGCAAGTATGCTTATGTAGGGGTGCGCATCTAAAGAGACACTAACATTCTTCAATAATGTAAGCGTATGAGTGCGTGAACGTATGTGTTATCATATAATGATGAGTTATAATAATATATGCAATATACTTATGCAAATTTAAATATTGTGTTTTCCACTTAATTCGCATGCACTCTTATAGACGTATACTCACCCAAACATGTGTGTGCGCACAGGCACACCACGATATTCTTTCTCTTCCACACCTTCAAAACCGACCATCTTTCTTGCTCTCGCTCTGTCTCTTTGTAATGCCTCGTAACGCATAGTGACTCAATTGCCAATATTGGGCATACGTTAACCCTATGCGGTCGGGCTAGTTTGCGGTATACTAGACGATGGTATTCATATAATAGAGAGCAGTAAATAAATTGGAATTGTTTTAGTTTAATATAATGTTATATATACATATATATATATATATATATGTTAGGTGTGCGTATGAATGTGTATAAACATATATATAAACATATTTACGTAAGTGGATATGTGGATTCGTGTCCATGCATGTTTAACTATACTATTGCATTATGGTTTTTGCGCTCTAATAAGGTAGAACGTAAAACTCAGTCATATCTGATAGAGAAACCAATTTTTGTTTCTTTTTTTCTTTTAAATTAAAACAAAAGTGATCAACTGAAACGAACAGGAAATTATTTTCAAATATTTTTCTGTAACATTATGATGATGGATGATTTGATTCTTAGAAAAGTGTGTTACCTTCTGGTGTACATTGGGCAAATATGTTGGCAAACAGCATAAGCAAGAATTTTGAACTTCTTATAGCAAATTATTTCGAGATACTATTCTTTCAAAAATTCTATCTGACGTATGAGTAATTTCACTTTCTTGTCTATTTATTATGTTTGTTGAAAAGAAATTCATACGTTCTGGGTGTCATCTAGAGAAGCCAATTTCATATTTTTGCTTGATATCTATCCGCGTTAATGCGGAAATCGAAAATGTGAATATTTTTAAAAAAATGTTGTGTCACAAACGTCTGCGACATTTGACATAAGTGCACACTGTATTGTTCTAACAAACATTAAATCGTTTTATATTCAGATGTTTTGAGAGTAATAATATATTAATCGATTTTCTTAAAAGTATTATTATTATTATTATTATTAATTTCGTTAGAGAAGCTCCTCTGTGCTTGTTGTGTACCTGTATTTTTAGTATTTTGCACTCAAGAAATTCGACTTAAACTCACCATCAATCATTTACCAAGTCGCATGGTGAAGAGGAAAGAAAGCAGTTCCCGCTCTTAACCGTCCAAGGCGTCAATTTTCACCACAAACTAACAGACAACTTATCCGAAAGTTGTTGTTCATCTTAAGTAGAGAATAAGTAGGTAGGGTAAGTGATTTTATACACCTGAAATTAGAAAATTCCGATCCAGTAAATATAAAATAGAACTTTGATACGGAATTAAAATTTAATTCATAAGAGTTATGAACGTACTAAAATTTGCACACAAAGCTTACATGGACACTTAAAAGATATCAAGGAAGGCACTCTATTGTTAAAGGGCAATTTGATATGTTTCGTACAAATGTCGAATGTTTCATGATTTGTTTTATTAAACAGAATCGACATATAGAAATTTTAAATCATCTTCAAAATGAAAAGAGAGATTATAGTTCACGTCACAAAGGATCCAGCAAAGTGCTT